CTGTTGTCCTTGGTTTTGCCTGATCTAATAGCCACATGTATCCACATGCAAGTCTCTGCTAATATATTTAGCATGGACATGCTGGCTGACAAGCATACCAGCATTCAAAACACAACATAGAGTTTTTGTGGTGGCTCACCACTGGCTGTGCTGCAGCAGGAATGCGGGAGGCATGGCCATGCAAAGCGGCCATGCAAAGAGGCTCTCGGCTCTCGTAAGAGAAACTTTAATTTTCAGAGTTTAAGTTGTTGTTAGTCACAGTTGTTGTAAGTTATTGTTGTGCTATTCTTTGTTAGGCTGTAGGGTTGTTGGTGTTGAGTTGGGTTCTACCATGGAGTCGAACTGTATGGCTTGAAGTGATCTGCCTGATGTCCCAGGTGGGGGTTTAGTTGTGAGAGACAATTCTTTCTTTGTTTCTGTTTAATTAAAAAGCATTTATTTTTAAAGTGCAATGTTTCCTGCATCTTGCTCTTCTCTGATTCTACATAGGTGTCAGAAGCGGCGGACCCCTTTGCTGCCTGCTCAGCTGAAGAGCATTTACCTTTCAAATGCAAAGACACGGCAAAAATTTTGGCAAATAAATTTCGGCAAATAGATTTCAGGCTACCCTTTTAAAACAATGCGTGGCTGATGCTACAATATGTTATTTTTGCTGGTGATCAAATTGATAACTACCATTGCTTCTGATCAACATACCAGCATCCAAAACACAACATATGCTGGTTTATATGTGCATACTGGTCTACGCTGTTTTTTTCTAGCAGGGTGTGTGCATTCTTTGACTCTTTATTAAGTTCACGATCAAAAATACTGCAGTGTCCAGCATACAGACAGTGGCTGGGTTTCCATTCAAACGTTTCACAAATAATATGCACATTTATGAAATTTCATCAGGAAAGTCGCCTTTCCATCCACTACTGTTATGCGAAGAAACTTTAGGGGGTGCATCAAAACGAGGAAAATGGAAAGATTTAACTTGGTTTTTGCTTCACGTAGAATTATCTTTACAGTCATTTTCCATCTTTTTTTCTTTATGTTGAGAGCATCCTTCGAAAAGCTAAGCACCACAATAGAACCATTTAAGATTCACGGAATCATGTGACCTCCAGCTTGATACACCATTGTTCATTCAAAAAAACCCTTTTCCATCACACTTTTTCACATTTCGCCTTTATCTATATTCTAATTTTTCCACTTCGTCCTAGCATAAAACTCTTTTTTGCAATCTTTGGGTGCTTTTCCTTATTTTTAGCCTTTTTCATTGAGGTTTTTTTTGTGCATTTTCAAAATTCACAAAAACTGGTGGATGGAAAACCAGATATAGTAGCCAGCAGTGTTCCCTGTGAAACATAATGCAAAGGTGTCCTACCAAATGTGAGCCTCACCTTACGCGTGATCTGCAGATGGTATAAGATAGCAATTACTACACACATTGCTGCTGTTGGAAGAAACCTTGTATCTCCATTTTTGTTGTTTTCCAGTTTTTGACATAATTTGAAAATGCCTGTTGCCCTTTACATTGTGTCTGGTTCCACTGACTTATATTAAAAGTAAAGCAGCTTAGCATTTTGGAGATACAAGGTTTTCTTCCCTACAACAGGGATAGGTCGCCTCCATCTTTAATTATTAGTGTATCAGCAAGCTAGTGCTCCTTAGGGTAAGAAATAGTATTCAGCTTAGTATTCAGTAACATAGATGTTGATGCCAAATTCATACAAATGTTTTAATTTTTAATTTTCAAAATGTAATCAGGCTGATATTCAGCTTCCATTGTTTTGCTAGCTAGTGCATTTTTCTAACCCTTGTCTCAGGTACTGGATGTTACTGAGGCCGCAGGGCTGCAAGTGTATAAAAAGCAACAAGAGGGCACTTCAGCTCACTTCCATGCTGATATTGGCACCTGAACTGTGTATTACTTACACTAGAATACCTTGTTTGTGTGTCTGAAACGGTTAATGTTTTAAATATTTTTGTTTACGTCGTATGTGTGCACCAAAACTCCACATCATCAGCCTTATGAATTAGATGGGACGGCAGACTTAGACTTTGGCCCTATTGACTTTGCAGGTAAAACATTAAGTCCATGTGTCTGCAAGGTTGAATCGTCTCACTGTGCAATTCCATACATATCCAACTGCCTGGAATGTTCTAGGTAGGGCGCAGTGAGTGAGCACACGAGTAAACCATTTCTGACAAGAGCCGTAATCTCGTCCTCTGCACAACTCACTGCCTCCTGTACTGGAGTGCTGTTGTCATACAGCACGTTGCATCAGCGGTTTGTAGTATTGAGTTTTGTGTTTTCAGAACAAATGCAAGCACCCGGTGGCGAGGATGGGGGGAGATTTTAATAAAACCCACAACAGCTCCACTCGGTGGGGGCCTCGTGGTGGCTAAAAGGGAAAAAAGACCCTGATGAGCCTTCGTGCCTGTAGGCTTGCACACTGTGCTGCATATTGTTTTCAGAAATCCGTTCGGTGCTGAGCATCGCCGCAGGCTGTCCGTCCCCGTTTATGCGCCGTTTGCCTTAGAAGTGCTATCGAATGCCTGCAATAAAGAGGGACATATTTGCTGAGGCATCCATCTAAGAAGTGACGCTCAATAAAGTTAATAACATTTCACGCAACGTTAAAGCCCTCAAACCTGAAGGATGCGTACAAGGAGCTAATCCCTCGGCCATCTACGTGTAATTGCACATAAAGGAGCTCATTGCTAACAAAAGACAGGGTGCGAACAGAGGACGAACAAAACGCTAAGTGAAACCAATCCTTTCCAGCCCCAGAGAGCACATCAGTTAGTGCGCAGCAGTGAAAATATGCAAAGTTAGAGCTCAGAGTTGATAGAATGCCATCTCAAGAAATTGCTGCTTTCCATTTTGGGGCTGCATCCCTGTGCAGCCTGTAGCCTACAGCCATGTGTTTCTGCTGCGCTCACCTTCGTCATGCCAACCACATTTAGACGAGGCTGCTCAGTATTTTGTGACAACAAAGAGAGAAATCAGTTCTTCTACAAATCAGTTCTAGTCATTTCTTATTTCTGTAACTTTCTAATGATATACCGATATGTAATTTCTAGGCTGAAACAATAACCAATAACTTGTTTACAGTATAATCCATAAGAAGTGCAGTGTGCCTACAACACAGCTTGTAGAAATGGACAGAATTTTATGTACATATTTTACATTATTTAGCAGACTTCCAGAACCACTTACAATGGCGTGTGAATGTAACGTTAAGGGTCCCAATGACGTTTTTGGCACAGTAGCATTTATCCATGTGAGGGTTAGTGGTGTTCTCCTGTGCTACCCATGTAAGTGAGTTAAAATGAATGAAAATGTATCGCACTAGTGTCTACCAGAGCCCGATGTATTGGTTTGATAATATTGATGACCCATAGTTTTACTGGCATTATCAACAATTACCGACTTTTTACTGTTGCAGCCTGCCACTGACGAGCCCGCTATCAATCACCCAGTTTAACTACATCATAGCAATACAGGCTGAATTGGTAAATTTGAACACACGTATCCAAACATAACCTTTAGCATGTGAATAATTTACACACAAAATAAGTTACACACAAAATAAACCCTTTAAAAGAATATAACTAATGGAAAATATGTAATTAAGTAAAATAAGTAAAGAAGTAATTAACAGCAACCAAAACTGCAAAGAATTCTGGGTCACTCCACACCCAGGGCTATGGAATTTATATTGTTTAAGACTGAGCTAATGTACTATTTAACTGAAAATATTTCTGTATAAATTAAAATCTAAAATATAACTATGAAAAAAAATGTATTGTCTGATATTATTGGTGATTTGAATAATTAAAATTGGTATCGATCACAATTTTCATGCATATGTTTGCATGCTAAAATAGGGTGCTAAATTATCAGTTGTAATTATCGGCTATAATTCCAATATCTGCCTAAAAGTAATAATTAGCTTTTTCCATTTATGGGTGACTAATATATTGGCTGCAGATGTAGTGTGCGTCCCTAATAATAAGTTAGTGATTATGCATTGTCTTTCAAGGAGCTACTGAATAATAAGCCTTGGCATGTGTACATGAAGTTGAAGGGGTTAAGGATTTAGCTGGATCGAAATCCTTTTACACAGACATTAAATTGGCTAGTACCAATGAAAAATGCATGGTGTTCCATAACGCCTGCTTATATAGTCCTGGTTTGAATGGGCACTGTGCAGGCACCAGCCTGGGCTAGTTAGCCCTGGCTGAGGCCCTGCTGGACAAAGTGGTCGGATGCTCTTTGTCTGGGTTTTGCCATCGTCTCCACAAGAGGAGGAGGAGGAGGAATGCACGTGTACCCGTAGCCCCGCTGACACAAGAGCTCTCGGCCTAATCACCTGCTTCTCAGAGTCGCTCAAGCCCAGGCTCCATCCTATTAAAAGTCCCAGGCTGAGAAGTGGGGGGCTCCCAGAGAGCTGGAGCTAAACGAGCAGACTAATTTACAGCGTGCAGCAGAAGGAGCCTAGTCACCCAGTTATTGTTCATCAGTGTCTCTGAGCAAACCATGCTCTCTCGTATGCTGGGGGGAGGATAAAAAAAAAAAAGCAGTAGAAAGCCAGGAAATGCAGTACTCGGCTGAAGTCTCCTGCCAGTTGAGATGCTTAGCTCCTCCATGACATCTGGAATTCAAGGCGAGCCATTCGTTTTATTGCTGTCGGCTAGCTGCAGGTTCATTAGCAGCAGGGAAAGATGGGTAAAAATGTTAAAACTGCTGCAGGATTCAGCTGTATTTTAACTAGCAGCAAAGTTGCCACCTGGAGCCTCAGCCTTCTGGTATGTGGGACAAGGGCCAGGTCAAAGCCGAGACATGTTAATGCTCTGGCTGTTCTCAAACTTGCCTTTTCTTCTTACACAACAGGCAGCAGCTTGCCAAAACAGGTGCCAGTTTCAGTTCTGTTTTAATTCGATAAATACACCCTAAAGCCCATTTAACAAACAAATAAAAATGATCAGAGAAAACTACACAGGCAAACTTCCATGGGAAAAGAAATTTATTTTGTCGAATAAGCAATATCAGATTTCAAGTTGTATTATGGAACATTGTCCATCATTTGAATCAGTTGTGATGAGCTATGCCAAAAAAAAGCTGTGGTGTACATGGCAAAAATCAGCATGGAACTATTACAAACACACGGAATCAGGCTTTGTGAGCATGTACACGCAACATAATACTGTGTATCGAAAAAAGGAAAAAAATGCACAGATAGCACAACTGTTCCTGAACATAAAAAAGTGAAGTCATTTTGTAAAGGCAATGTTTATCCAACAAAGCATTTAGTACTAAGATTGCTGGGATTCACCATCAACTGGGGTCATCACGGTGAAGTGACACAAATGTAAACAAAAAAAAATTAAAACAACCCCCACATCAACTATTTTAAAGGATAGAAGTGGGGGCCACACATACCACAATACTGACCACAACTCTAACTGGGTGTTGCTATTGCAACATACTTTACCAACATGGAGACAAGCTTCAAAAATGGGAAGAATTGTGAACTGCAAATAAGAGGAGGAAATAAAAGGCAGAGCTTGAGGAACTCGGTACTTCAAGTAATAGGAAAAATCCTTTTGAAAGTAGGAAACTACGTTCTATGTGTATCAGACTCTGAGTGTGTTTTAACAGCAAACCAAAACACAAGAGTGAACAAATGGATTTTGTGCAATTTTAGTGAGGGTTTAAGTGAAATATGTAAAACACCAGGGAGTCAGCTTTTCCCCAACTCTTTTTCTTTTTCCTTCACTCTCGTTCTCTCTGCTAAGCTCTTTTGGATGTGTTGGCAGACGCCACGAAAGTGAGCAAGTGAGTGATTACTGGGTCTTAGCGTTAGGCCTGATCTACATCAAACAATTAGAGTGTGACCTCTTGGAGAGCGCACACGTATCAACAACAAAGTAGTGCCTACAAAAGTGAAGTCAAGGTTGGCTCAGCAATATAGGTGTTATTATCGTGCAGTTCCTCTTTCCCAGAAGCCGTCCTGGGGAGAGAGCTGGGTAATGAGATAATGAAGATCACACACACCTTCTGATTTATCAGGCATGGTGTGCCAAACCTTAGTATGATCCAATTACTCAACCGAAATCCAGATTAATTTGACCCGCACACAGTTAAAGGCACAGCCCTGTGACATACAGTAATGGATGCACAAGTTGATTTAAGGTTACCCTCAAATGTAATGAAATGCTATCATTTTAATAAGGGTAAAAAGTGCTGGTTACAAATAAATGGCTGCTGCGGTCACCACTCGTGGTCTTGACTCCATTTTGAGGCAATGTGTTTCTCCAGTTATTTTCCACTTCCACAATGAGAATGGCTTAGATTCAACTTTGACATCAAGGATTCAGTGTCTGGGTTCAATAATAAGATGTATGGGATCTCAAATAATAAGGTGGAAAAAAAACCCAACATATATAGAACAGTGTTGCGAGTGAACAAGAGAAAATAATGGGATACACTGAACAATGTCTGGCACTTTGGGCATGCCTGGCTATTGTGCACCAACCTCTCAAAGAGTATTGAAAATTTAGCTTTTGTTCAACTATGAAAAGCAAAAAAGAAACAAAAATGCAAGAATTTGTACAAAATGCAATTTAAAAAGACAACTATTTACAAAATCACCATTACAAAAATGTAATTTTGTATTTGTTTCTTAAACAGGGCTCAGGTAATATTAGGTTATTTTAACTTTATCCACATATTTACATGGTCTTAGTTTTAATTATTTATCTTTTTTGCCAGATTGTAAATAACATTGACGTCACTACATGAACTAAAAATAAAACATTAAAAAAACACAAAAAAGAAAAGAAATACTTGAAAATGTTGACCTCTATTCTCCCAGAGATGTTGCTGTTGCTGTAAATTCTTTCATAGGTGTGCAAGCAGACTTATCTGTGCCGTTGTCGTTTCTAGGCGTAAACACTTGGCGATAGGCAGTCAACAGTTTTACTGCAGAATAAAACTGGGCTTGCTTCACTATTCTTTTTTACAAGCAAACGCTTGTCCTTAACTGACCTGCCTGATTTTTTTTTTTTTACTCCCATCACTGAAGCTCAAGCAGCCGTCAGAACTGGCTGAATGTTCCCTTCCAAACACAGAGCTACACTTTCATTTGAATTTATTCTTGGTTTCACAAACAGCGTAACCTTTGACAACTCAAGATTATTGTGATTTACCTGAAAGAAAGACATTAAAGGTGGTGATATGTTTCAAGCTATCAAAGGGAGAAAAACATGTTAGTTTAGTCACTTAGAAACCAGACGGTCAAATCTAGGGAGGAGAGGAAAAAATGTTGGCAAGGAAAAAATCAACAATATAATGTGATTTTTATCACAGTAGCTGTCAAGCGCAGGCGAAATTAAAACAATTACACCAAATAGTTTATGTCACAAGCACTTTGCTCTGAAACTTATATGGGTTAAAGAACAATTGTACCAGATAGAGCACATCCACACTCTTAGAGCTTGATAGCTTTGAGAGTTTCAAGTTTTTCCATATTTCTGTATCTCTTCTCACAATCTGTTTTCATAATGTTTCATTTATAAATCAGTTTCACATATAACCCACATTTCTCTAAGGCTGTGTTATTTAAATTTTGTTGGTGCTTTTTGCTAACTAATCTGTGGCCCACACTTTTTTTTGATTGAATTTGAGTATTTTTTACTGAGGTTAAAACCTCACTAAGCCTTCCTACTGCACTTACCTAACAGGCATTTTTCCTCTACTTAAACACAACTTCCAGCTTCATATTTTGACATGAGGGCCGAGGCCTGGCTTCCTCTGAGCTAATTAACGTTTTGATTGCTCTCTAGCAACATTTGTTAGTCCATGACTTTTTTTAAAACTGTTTTTTTTCCCCCCAAAAATGTTGATTCTGACATCCATCATGCTGGTCTGTTGCTGAAAAGCTAATTAACAGCACCCATTAAACTTCCACATAAGCCGGAGTTTACTCCTCTTCCACTGAGCAGCTAACAGGCTACGGAAGCATCAGAAGCCACAATTTCCATGGCCTGCCTCGACATGCGTGCAGGAACGGCTTCTGTAATGCAAGCGGCTTAGTCATAAATACCAGACCATGGGGTTGCCTCTACTTGTGAACACAAAAGCCAGATTGCAAATACCATGTGTACATAAATACATGACACAGCATATGGTTAACTGACTATATGTAAAGGGACAACTGGGACCAAATGATCATTTACTATACATGTTAAACACACAAAATTGGCCGTGATAAGGACATAGAAGTGAAATATTCACTTATTAGAGAGCATACATTGAAAAAAAAAGCCTAAAAACAGAATTGCAAATCAATACCTTTGTGGAAGGAGCAAGAATGTTTTCCATCAAAAATAGTAAGGCAAACATCATATGATTTCCATTACTTGTCACCTTGTGCCCTTGTTACCTGAGCATTAAAAAGGCTCCATTTTCAACCAGATGGCCAGCCTGAAAAAAGCAGGATTGGCTTTAATTTAAGTTAGAAAATAGGTTGTTTATTCTCGTTTTCAGTGTGCAGTTTCTGGCTGCTTTTTTTCAGAAGCAAAACTGCCTTCTTGTGTTCCAGCTGCTCTGAATGGCATTTCATGGAACTTGTACAAATGTGAGAAAGAAGAAAAGGGATGAAAAGCTCCCACAGCAAGCTTTCAGCCTACAAAACGAACAAAATCACTGTTTTGTTTTACACAGTATCTGTGGATCTGCGTTGACCGTCTCTGGTCTGGTCTCCTTTTATGAAGCCTCTCAATGTCAGAGGTCAAGGTAGTAAAAATGGCGGCTCACGAAGGGGTGACGCATAATGCCTCAGTTCCTTATTTCCCCCTTTTTTCAGTCTCACACCTTGTAGTAGATATTGGCTGGGCTTTGTGGAGGCATCTCCTGTACGATGTACACGGGGTGGCCATAGTCCCCGCTGACCTTCTCATAATGCGGGCAGTAGTTGTTCTCTGTCCGTAAGGGGATGATGATGTCGCTGGGTTCGGAGCCAGCGCTGCCCGTCATCTTGGGACTGGCCAGAGTGCTGAGGGAAAGGGCAGCTGGCCGTGGTTGTGAGGGCTTCCGTGAACGCTTGCGGATCTTGATTAGCAGGATGACCAAGAAGATGATGAGGATGAGGAAGATGACACAGCCAGCACCGATGGCCGAGAATACGGCGATCTTAGAGCCCAGGATGCCGTCTACACTGTTGTCCTTATTATCCTGGTTGATTGTGTCTAAAAAACAAGGACACTACTTTGTCAAATTATATTATGTCAAAAATCTAATTTGTACAAATTTTCCCCTACCCAAAAACATATTGTATGTTTCATAAAAATAACTCAAATATTAATAATACCTATTTGCAGCACTATAGTATTTCTGGTTGTCCCAGCCCATTATAACTACATTTTACCTTGAAATATGACCATATAAAAATATTATTTTTGTGTGAATCTATACAACACATCCAAACATCTCATGTTTGAAACATAGTTCAAGAGTCATTTATTATCCCCAAATTATAGACCGAACATAAACGATTCATAAAAAACTACAAAAAATTAGCTAACTACATTTTGTTTATTTACTAACTTTATACTTTATACTATAACTTCTACTTTTAACCCTGTTAGTTATTTAAGCCATTATCAACAAAGAAACCTTTTAAAATGTGTGTATATATATATATATATATATATAATACTGAAATGGTTTAATTGGTTTAATTAATTAATGCTTTAATTAATTTTAATGGTTTAAATGGTTAAACATTTTAACTTTCTTAAGAGTTACAAAGGATTAAATGGCACCACAACTGTGGACTCACCTAAATATAGTTGATGAACCAACACATCCTTTGGTATCTAAAGTTTGCTTCATTACTTTTTGCACTGTAGCCACAAGGCTAATGGAACAAAACTTACATCAAGTAATGATTTTTACATTTTTTATTCTGCAAAGTGTAACAGTATGTAAGCCCACATAGGTCTTGTTGATAACAACTCAATGGAGTTTGAGGTAAGTGTGTGCTGATTTAGGCATGCACTTTTCACAGTGCAAATTAGTAAGTATAAGTTTCAATTACCTCTTAAAGACATTAGCCTTGTAGCTGCAGTACAAGACAGAATAAGCAAATTTGGGACATCAAACACGCCTTGGCTAAATCTGGGTCACTGAACTACTGCTTTTGAGTACAAATTAATGAGCACAAAATTCCTTACTTTGTTATATAAACAAAACATCACTTGTAAGAAAACAGGGTTAAATACTTTAACGAGTGAATTCTGGATGATGAAGGGCCTCACTCAACCTGGATTCTGATGTGTTTCAATTTTATTCTTAATAAAATACTCATAAAATGCTCAAGTCTCAACAGCAAAAATATGCCTTGCACTGTGTAACTTGATTAGTGATGAGAAAACAGAGAGAAAAGTAATCCAATACATTGTGATGGATTATGATGAACCCTTCCACCAAGACACATTCGTCTTTGGCTAAAGCACATGCACAAAAAACGCTGAAATATGGTACAATCCTGATGCTCTCGGAATGAGGCAGAAGGGGGCTTTTTGCACATCTGATTTTGTTTTATCCTTTCATTGGCTGGCGTCCTGGGTGGACAGAGGCTTGCAAATAAAAAAATGGCAGCTCTAGTGACTGAAATCTGAGGAGAGAAAAAATCTGTTTTTTATGCATTCAAAGTACAGATGCCAGAAATTCCCTTTACCTCAGTCCAACCCCGCTGATTGATTTTAATGGCTGAAGATGGCTCTATCTCTGTCTCTATCGCCTTCAAAATGTTCCGGGTGCACTTAAAAACTTAGAAAGAGGGATAATTAAATATTGAAAAAAAGGCCATACCGGTGTTCCCAGACTCCAGGGGTCCGTCCATGTCTGGGTTAGCAGGGTTGGAGCTGGCATCAGGTTCAGGCATGGGCGATTCGGTTTGCTCTGTGTCGGGCACCACTGCATTGGGGTCTGGGAGGGAGATAAACAGAGGAAAAACAAAAGCTGAATAACATATGCATCCCACACACATTCGTTTTGGATGGAGAACAAAGCCAGATATTAAAATTTCTATCAAAATCTCATTTACCGCCTTTGTTAGAGTGCCAAGCGAAATCAACAAAAAGCAATTATTAAATATTTCCTTCTCTGAGGCACCTTTTTCCCTGATGCGCACATGGCTCCTAAAAAAAGGCTCCTTTTTAAGGCAGAAAAAATGTTTAACTATATGAACACCATACATACTGTGTGTACTATTTACTGCAGTATGCCATACATAGTAAATCTAATACATATAACAGGATTTATCTCAAATTACTACGGCTCATATGACTAAGTAGCCTCATTACTGCACACAATATCAAATACTGGAGTGCCTTAATGAGAGTTTCTCTGCCTCAGGCGCAATCTCTTAAATAAGCCCATTGGCTCCGGCTCCCTGGGAAGCGTGCAGGACTGTTTAAAAGACGGCTGCCCACGTCTGCGAAATGCATCACAATTACAGCGCTATCATAAGAGCTATTTCATATCTAAATATGACCCTCCCCTTGAACAAACAGTCAGCGGAATGCGCTTTCTACACGCGGCAATTAATCTCAGTGCGGAGAAACGGAGGAAAAGGCCGCACGTTCGCCAGCCAGCAGCAGCAACTGCCACACGCTTGTGCATGGCAGAATGGGGTTAACATGGTTATATATTAACTTTTTATTGTTATTCATTATTCATGCTGTTAAAAGCCCATAATATGTCTTATTTATTGCAGTGGCTCAGAGTCTGTCTGGAGAAGCTCATACACTTGTGCTCTCAGAGGAGAGTGGGGTTATGTTGGGATGTGAGGGGCGACGTGGGCTGGAAAAATGCTGGTTTTACCAGCTGTGCTCGGTGGCTCCTGTGTGTAGTGCCTTAAACTGAAGTGCACGTTTCCGGCTGTCCACTGTGTGCGTTCAGGTGTGGGGGGTGTGCGGGGGGTCAGGGGCTAGTCAAACAGAGAGATAATTGTTATCCCAGCTTGATGAACCCTTAGCGAGCTATCAGATCTCTGCTCCCCCTCCTCGTTCCTTGCTCCTCTTATCTTTGTGTCCCTAGTGGGTCTGGTTGGTTGTGTGTGTATGTGGAGGGGTGAGGGTCAGGAGAGGCTACTCTGCTCTTTCCATTGTGGTTTGATTCCTCTGGGCTATCCTAGCACAGCTCAGGCCAAAAAGAAGAGGCTCCGAGAGCATGGCAAGCCGCTAGTAGCTAGCAGCTCCGCTTCCTGCAGCCCACGCCAAAAACGGGCCCTGGGCCTGCTGGGTATTACGGGGAGTGTCTGCTTTTCCCATATTCCATCTGGCCCCGGCCCGAAAGACGGAAACACACATTTGATTCTTTTTTCCCCTCTCTCTCTTTTCTTTCTTTCCATCTCATCTCTTTCTCTCCCCTAAATATTCATAGCCTGGCTGCCGCTTGGGTTTTGAGCGAGTGCAGAGAGCGACTTTGCCACTCATCGTCCTTTCAGCTATCCATAATACATGGATAGGGTACAGTCAGATGCATGCAAGCGTGTCATGGCATGGGTCCTGCTGGGTGGAAAAAGGTGAGCGAATGTCCGCAAGTTTGGGCAGCCACTGTGGCCTTGTTCTGCATGCCCCGGACCATTTAGATACATGCCTTGGCAAGCAGCGCCCACAGACTGAGCACAAGCAAGAACATTGACTCTTTATGGGGGTAATGCAAGGGCTCACACAACAGAACAAAAAAGTTTCTAAAGAGCCAAGAACAGGCCTAGGTTTCTAGCTTTAAGGAGCTGTGGCCATGGCCAGCATGGCAGCGAGCAATAAGGAAGCTGTGGTCACACTGGTTCCCCTCTTGCTATAATTACCTAGGAATAGAGAGAAAAGTTGCATCTGAAACTGGGGTTTTGAATTATTCATGATCATATCTGCACATTAGGACCTATACGTTGTCAAGAACACCGTATGATTAAAGAGCTTAATTGTAAACAAGTAGTAAAGTTTCATTGAGAGGTTATAAATAGTCATTTTATGCCTTAAAGCCGACATTTTTGCGGGAGTGAAGTCACAAGACTGCTTTACATATGTGGGGACAGGGGGCCGTCTTATAGTTCGACTGTAAATTCCTGCGCCTGGGGCGACAGAGTTTATAGACAGGAGCTTGTTAAACCCTTTTCTTACACTGAGGTCAGGCTACTCATCTAAAAAACTTTCATTATCACTCATCCATTTCGAGGGCCCCGACTGGCTCCCATTCAGCCATGCCGTCTCTGGTGCATATTTCTGTTTTGTAGATTTCCACGCCAGCTCCCAAACACGCAATTAAGAAATGCTGGTATGCAGATGTTCTTTGTCCTTGCCTGCTGTGTCATTTCAGCTCCAGACCTCCTGAACTACACAAACCTTTTGTAAACTGTGTGTTGTCAAATTTCATGAAATAGAAGATTTTGATTCGAACCAGAACTCTCTAGTATGGCTGTTAAGAGCCATATATTTGTGTTGTGACAAAGTAAAGTTATAATCTTTCTTAATTTGCCACTGAAACACTAATAACATTAACAGTCAATGGCCCAGAAGTACTATATTTAAATTTGATATTATCCAAACAACACTTTTAATAATAAATATTCCTCAAAGCAGGAAGCTGACAGGTTTGCTAAAATGTGGAAGAATATGTTTCCACAGGAACAGTATAACAAATTAAAACCTGAAATTAAACTTTTTTGTCACCACACCATCTGAATCAATTGTCTGCTCTGTCTATGGCTTACATACTGAAAGTGAATCTTAATAGCATTATTACACATCTGCCACGTAGTGTCGGGGTTAACTTACCTTGTCCAACCTTCATGATGACCTTCATGGAGCGGCTCTTGCAGACGCCTCCTTCTCGATTCTCCAAGCCTTCCAGTGAGCCATTGGATGTGGCTGTAACAGGGAAAGCAAGACAAAGGGAACACCCTGAATATAATTTTGAAAGCCTGGCATAACTACTAGGGCCTGACTGATATACTGGTTGGCCGACAGTGAGGTCCCACAAATTTAGCGTGATTTATCATCTCTAAACCACAATTCATTCAAACCAAAAATAATAAAACCATGTAAAACGCATCTAATAGTTAACTGACATAAACAAAACTGCAACAGAATAGAAAGAATTTTGAGATGCTCTGGCCCCTGTGTTACTATATTTATTTAATACTATACAAGTTAAGAACATTCATAACTGACAACTCCCAATGTACAGCAGACAATCATATCAGTAAGTAAAGCACTGTTTAGCATAAACAATTGGGTTCTGTTTATTTTTTCATAAAAATTATATTAGCCAGTATTACGGCTTATTGGAATTTTAGGCCCCTTAAAATTGGTATCAGCTGCAAAACATCAACAGCAGTCAGGCCATGATAACTATGCGTGGATTACGCGTGAGGCAGCCTTTTAAACCTTTGTCAGCTTTTCCACAGCTGTTAATGCAGAACCCACTATGGAGTGCTGTCCTAGGTGGGATATACCAGCCTGTTTGCGTGCTGGGGGCAGAACTATATCTCTCATTAGTGTCACTGTTTGAAAAAAAAAAGGATGTAAAATAATACCGGGCAATGTTTATCTCTGTGAATATTTTGTGCCAGGAAGAATTATAGCAAGGAGCTGGGGGCCTGAGAGCTCGGCTTTCCCTTTCTGCATGGCTTGTAATTAGGGGGCTGGTGGCTGCCTAGGGCCAGAGCCTTTTACTTCAGGGGCTTGTCCTCCACGTTAACATTAGCTAAAAAGAAGGGGGAAGAGGGGCGGAGATGGACCCTGTTTATATGGCATCACGTCTCACTTCACAGGGATGAAGTCACCAGCACTGGTGGGTATGCACCATCGCAGGTTTATTCAGTGCCAAAGAAATAACCTGCAGAGAAAGTGCATTACTGAGGCCTCAGCATGGCAAAAGCTGGGGCACATGGGGTTCCTTTCACTTTGATGTATGACGCAGTTTGTGCTTTTCACACCGGCTCCTTGGCTATTCTGAACTTCAACCTCTGCCATCCCCCCAGCTCTTTTCATCTTCCTTCCCCAGCTCTTCCCCGCCCCCCCCCCTCTCATTCACTGTCGGCTAAGGCCTTGTCGACTTCATTTACTCATCAAGCTTCAAAATGACATAAGTAACCATTTGGAGCAGCAGTCATCTAATTAGATCTCAGCCTGAGACTGAAAGCCTCTGTGCAACTGCCGAACAATAGTGGCCAGTGAGAAAACGAAGCACTGTTCAGACAGGTAGCTCCCTCCCTAGCCTCAGGGCTGGAGCTATCACACACACTTGTTAACCTCATGGTGCGTTCTTTCCACTTCACTCATTTTTTTTCCCTTGCCAGCCACCTTGGAGGTTTTAACTTTCAAGACCAAGGTTACACAAAAAGGGTGCTTTGAAGATCAAGCTAAATGTCCTTGGCTAATCTGTCCTTTATACTGTCATGCTCAGAGTTTTTGTTTCCTACCAGGGATGTTAACTCTTTGCCCCTTAATGCTGTCACATCTAAATATTCTTCAGCTGCAACTCAGGCTTAGCATGTGCCATCACTGCCAATGCAAAGCCAGCATGCTCTAATGAAAATTCAACTTTTTTTGAGGCGCGAAACTAAATGGACAATGTCTTCCATTTAGCATAACTTGGCAATCATTGAGAGCTAATTGCATCCTAAGAAAATGCTCCACAGCAAATTAGTCTTCCACAAAAATAAAAAGTAATAAGCTTACTTAACAATGTACTTCACTTTGGCTTTTGTTTGTAGACAATAAAACCTAAAAGGTTCTTCTGACTCCAGTATACCATGGGAAAGGCTTGCAGTTGGTTTGCTGGACAGAGCCTAAGTTCAGATCTAAAACAAAAACAAAATAATTAATATACTGACTGTGGAATTTAATCTGCCCTCATGCCTCTTCCCAGCTGTTACTTAAAACTCAACACCAACATTACAAGAAATAAGGGGCCTCAAGTGCGAGCTGTGATTTTACAGTAGTCGGTCATACAAGTTTGATAGTCCCTCTTGGTGCACCATGTCAAGTTCCAAATGTTTTCCTTTAAATTCTCTTTGAGGCACTTCACTGGTCTGTAACATACATTTGTAACCAGACCACTTCCCCCCCCTCCGCTATGCTTCTAATGCACGTCCATCATTTTTGGACACCGTGGCGGGGATTCACGTGTGGTGTTTTGGAAACAGGAAGCCAGGGATTTAGAATTTCCTCTATTTACAATAGGGACAAGAGCTCATGGGACCGGCCGAGATGGAAGGAGGAAGCTTTGGGCGCTACCTGCACTGACTCAGGTCTTCTCACAAAGACCGGGATTCAATCTGGCAGCAGAGTTCAAGTTTTTTTAAGTGTGGGTGGCAGTACATGGGTTTACTTTTCAATTCCAAATTGGAACTCAGATCCTTTGAAATGTTCTTCAGCTCTGTGGTAGAAAAATGAGATGGCTCTGTCTCCAATCTGTTACATCAAGTCAACCGTCAGATGTTGACAAAGGCTTTTGTGCTGTCAGGAGCGCCCAACAAGTGTTGAGTGTTATTAAGGAATGAGGTTAATGCTTGGGATGTACAATGGCAGTAGCAACAGTGGGGATCAGGTGCCAAAATGGGAGAGGGTGGATATGACTTGAGAAATATGTCAACTAGGACAAAAGGCCTTAAAGAGCTGGAGGTGGTAGTCTGAAACCTAGGCTCACCCACACATAGCTCATGGATTATTAATGTCCCGTTCGGCACTGGAGACGCATAATAAACAGCAAATGATTCATGGTGAAGACAGTGAATTTATTCTGAGGGGTCACCTGAGTGACCTAATTTTCCCAGACAACAGGGTAAATATAGAAACGAGGCTGGCTCGCTGGTAGGGCCCTTTCTTCAATATCTCCCATTCATTCCCAGTGGGGGCTTTCCATTCTCCCCTCCAACCAAGTCATTTGAATCAGGTAATGAAACAAAATGTAGGGGTTGAATAATTTGAAAGACGGGAGCCCAATTTGTTTGATGACATAATGTGGTGCCAGAGAAAATGGAGAAAGGGCATTATATACATATACTTAAAAGGCTGGTTTAGTAAGGCCTCATAATTCAACATTCAGCACTGGTATTACATTATGTAAATGTGGCATATGAGAAAACTGACTGGTGTTGCTTATTAGCAAATATCTAGTAACAGATCAGTAATGGAATCTTAGTAAATGAATTTGATACCTGGTCAGTCCTAGAGACATATGCATGTAATATGCTGCCCATTTTGTACCTCTACTTTTCACACTATATCCTTTTTAAGGTATTAGACATTCTTCAAACATCTTTTTCTTCAATAATCTATTTGTACACACAAAAAGACGTTGTTTCCTGTGTACTCACATACATATAAAATACCAGCAGTACATCTGAGCTGCTGCAGTTTGACATTGCTGGACAGAGGGAAAGAGCACATTCCATTTGCACAAAATTAATTCCCCTTGACTACACACAAGCCCCGAATGCTTTCTAAAACTCATAAAGGCTCTCCTCAGTTGGCAAATGTTGTCTTGTGGATGAGAATCCTCAAGAGGTAAGAAACAAGCATTGAAAAAACACCACTGGAAAATGAAGTCTCTGCATCAGGACAAGTATTTAGAAACAAGTGAGCAGTATTTTTCTGGCCATGTAGTTCTTATGGCTTAAGCAGCATAGCCCTGAATATAGAGGAAACTTCCTCTGACCAAACTGAATCGATAAATATAAAGATAATTCATGTCAATGTACTATGCTTATTAAATCACATCTGCAAAAAAAAAATCAGTACTGGAATTTTTTAAAACATGTAATTATTGTACCAACATGTCTGCAAATGTCAAAACAAAAAAAGTAGCTAATAAGTTCCTAGATGGCAGAAAAAATTCTCCCTAGGCCTGCTAGATTTAATGCAAGACGCTCTATTGCTGAGTTACTACAGGCTACCAGCACAGTTACAGCAAAGATGTTAGGTTGAGGAGGAGTCGTGGGTGGCGGCTTCTGAGCGTGAGTGAGGCCCTTCATTAGAGGCAGAGAGACTCTGAGAAGCCATGCAGAAGAGACGCCCAGTCACTCAACGGCCTCATTGTGAGCCACGAGTGATGAGAAGTTGGGAGGACAGCTTTTAACCCCCATGAGAGTCTCTCTTAGACTCTTCAGCTAAACTCCCTCTGGCTGACTCATTTTGAGCTATGTGCTCTATTTGGATGCAGATTGCAGTGTTTTTTTATCACTAATCTCTCCTCTTTCAGAGCAAAATCTTGGCATTGAAAATTGTTTGAATCTTCTTAAAATGTTCCGTTCATTTCTAGACCTTTTAGAGCTTAGCTGTGATGCAAGGGAAGGTAAACAAGGCACTCCGGCATGCAACCAAATCTGGGCAAAATGAAGGATGTGGAATAACATGCAGACCTTGGGGAGCGCAACTATTCATCTGTCTCAAACCATATCAGATTTTCTTTTTGCCCTCATCCTACAAAAGGGGGGGGACTTACTTGCACTTCTCAGATCTCATGACCTTCAACACAGTACTAGAAAATTTCATCATACACGTCTCCCCTTAACATGAACACGGTCCCAGTAAAAAAACGAATTAAAAAAATATTTCATTCCATTGCACTGAAGTGAATACCCAATGACAATGGGGTGAGCTCTCCCCTTGAGCATATTTTTCATTTCACACTCAGTAATTATTCCACATCACAATGAAATGAAAGAAATAAACTGATGTTCCGCCCAAGCCAGCGGACCGAATAAGTCTTTGGTCATGCAATTTTCTCAACAGGGGGAATAGTTCATAAAAACATCACCAAAGTTTAAAGAGGCAGCTTTAACCTTTCAATTAATCTATTCCTTCACCCTGATTTAGCAGGCCACGGAACTGAAAGCAAGCCTGGCACCAGATGTTTTGTG